CGTCAACCATCGTTTCCGGGAACATGACCTTGTCTTTCAGCCTTAAACTCTTGTAGCCTCCCATCGCGGATTAACCTTTCAATTTCATCCTTTAGGTCGGCGTAGTCGTTGGTGTTGTGGCCGACGTCACCATGGAACTGGCAATACTTGCTCTGATTCCTTCAGTTTGGGTCTGACTTCATTGGTTCCGGTCGGCGTAATAAGTTTCCTCGTCCGACCTGGTTGAACACTTCCTCGACGCCTATAATAAGCTCATGATTGGAGTCATACCGTTGGAACGGCCGAGGCTTCCGATTTTCCTCTTGCCTCGGCTTCTTTATCTCCAGAGGGTTTGGCTTCAATGCGGTCTGCTTCTCTCTGTTTCTCCCGCCTCGTCGTTTACGATTATCTTGCTTTCTTGAGGTCGACCCCTGTTCTAGTCCTTTTTTTAATTGGACCTGTGCTCAGGATCGTTTGCATCGGCCTCTTCAGCGTTGATATACCCATGTACCTGTGCCAGAAACTCTTTATAAGTGGCCGGGGGCTTCCGATTCAGGTCACGTTTAAACGGGGTGGTCTTTTTCATACTAGACAGGGCCCCCATAAGAGCCTTTTGGTCCGTCATATCTGTTGTAGCAGCGACGGCTTCCCCGTATCTTGCAAGCCATTCTTTTAATGACTCGTTCAATTTTTTGTATACTATTGTTAGGTTTTACTTTGGCGGGATATATTTCTTTACCCCAATGAACTGAAGGGAGAAGGCTTCCTTCAGCTCCTCCCAACTGGAGATGGACTCTAGTTTGAGTATCCAGAACCATCTTCGGGCAGAGTCTGTCAAATGGTTCCGAAATGCTTGGCACATTATCTCCTCCGCATATCAGTGCAGAAGCATATGTCCCGTGTACATTTCCAAGTGATCGTCGGGATCCCCTCTGCCATCGTACGGTGGGATAGTCGGGGACTTATATTTTTCGGGTAAAGGTGGCGCCATGATTTCTGTGGTAAACGGGTGGTCGTGAGTTCGGCTGGAAGTGATGTCGACGTTGACTACTTTCGCCACCTGTCCAAGGTTCTTTTGTAGGTGGCTCACCTGGCTTTTGATATCTTTCTTTAAACTGGCGACGTCACCAGTGAACCTTTCTTCTAGGTTCGTCACATGCTCCATAATGGCTTTAGCCTCTTCCGTAGAGATTGCAGAGCTGGCCCCTTTTAAGGCTCCTACCTTCTTCGTATTCAGCTTATCCCTCAGGTCTCCACCTTCTTACACCGACCCCGAATCTCCTGAGATATTCTTTCCCGGGTTCCAAGGTGGAGCCTCAGGGTTTTCCAAACCGGTGAGTGCTCTTCTCTCCTGGGTTCGTCGCATGGCAGCCCTTTGTCACCTACCAAGGGACATGGACGGTCGAGGTCTTGGGTTGTCTCCCCTGACGTTTTCACTGTCCCTGATCCTTTCCGGGGCACCCTGGTGGTCACCAGCATCCTGGTTCCCAACCATGGCACCGCCTGGTGGTCTCGGGGCATCTTCCAAAGGAGGCATGGAATTTCTTCCTTCAAATCGCTCGACAACGGTCGTTAGTCCTCGAACCAAGTCGGTTAGAGTGTCCATCCGGGCCTGCATCTGTGTTGGGTCAAGCTACGGCGTGCCTGTGGGTAGAGCTTCATCCCTTGCCGGGGGTTGATTCCCCTGGTCGAGCTAATTCCTCCCAGCCCCACTATTGGTTGGATGTGTGGCATTTTCCTCCGTTTGACTGGTTGGATTTGAAGCACCATTTTTCTTTCTTGGAAGCATGGTCATTTATTGTTCGGGGTTCAACACGTGGACCAGAGATTCTAGGTTCACTTCCCAGTGGAGTCGCCCATTGTTGACGGTGCAATTTCGTCAACAAGAACTTACCGAATTACCCCGCGGTAGCCCGTTGGGTTACCGGTTTGGAACTTATAATTTTATTGAATATGCTGGAATTTGTATTTAGGGTTTAGAATAGGTTGTGAAGTAAGTGAGATAATGCTTATGAAAGTAAGAACACATGGGAATTTTATAGTGGTTCACCCTTCCCAATAAGAGCTACATCCACTGTATTGTATTTCTCTTGTCATTATTCTTACAAGTTACATATGCATCAGGAAAAAATCCTCTTTCTCTTTCGGGGGCTCTTCCCCTTTTATAGTGAATATTGCATGAGTCTCTGCCCAATGGTAGTCGGTTTGGACCATTTGACCGTGTCTTTCATGGGGACCGCCCACTCGAGTGGCCTATGGCCTCTTTTGTTCAGACCGTAGCCTGCCATTACCTTTTGGACTGTTCACTCATCTAATTTGTCCCCCTATTACGGCTCTGTAGATCCCCTGTAGTAGCTAGTGATCCGTTCCAGGCGGTTTTAAGGGCTTATAATTATTTCCTGTGTAACTGGCCTTCTCCAAACCAAGACGCAACCTTAGGATATTCGGCTGATCTTCCCAGGGGTCTTCCTTGGGATGTGGATCCAGTTGCTTGAGCTCTGCCGTCTGCGCCTATCCTAACATCTGCCGAGGGTAGCCTCTCTCACGGCCAACTTTATCGCATTATTTTTCCCGGGCTGGTCTCACAGACCTCGACTGTTTATAGGGTCGACAGTCTCGGTCTCATACATTCGGCTCTCCTGCCATACAGGAGAGACCAATGAGGCTCGGGCGTCGAGGGCTAAATGACGTGGCAGGCATGGGGCTGTGTGGCCTGATCGTTGTCCGATGTGTCGATGTGAATTTTCAACATCACCGATGAACATATATTTATTTTTGTTAAATTTCAAAAGTCGCTTGTTAAATTTTAATGGAGCTATTAGCCCTAAAGAAAGTCAAAACTATCGAATTATACATTGAATAATTTTTTGGGCACATGAACATGTTGTTTTGGTACACACGCAAGGCACTAAAATAATACTAGTATATTCCATGTTGATTACTGTTGACGGCTAAATTTCATCAACAGAAATACGCCGGGTTACCCACTGGTATCCCGTAGGGTTACCGGCTGGAAATTAACTATATATTTGAAATTATGCTATGAAGTGTTTATTGTATTTTTGGAAGCATGAGAATAATGTTTGAATGAGAGGACACACGAAATTTATAGTGGTTCACTCTGTTAATGAAGAGCTACATCCACTTGTGTATTATATTTCTTTTTGGACTCTTACAATTTACATGTATCATTCCTCTTTCTCTGATTGAATATCAAAGAAGCCAATCTCTCTCTTTCGTGTACGGGACTTTGCCCCTTTTCTAGCTCAAGGTTCCTTCGTAGGCGGTTCTCCTTTGTAGGTAGAAGTACTTGAGTGGCCTACCTTTCTAGGTCCAAACCGTAGCCCACTAATCACCTTTTGAACTGTTCACTCAGCTAATTGGTCTTCCATTACGGCTCTGTGGATTCCTGTAATCCTTCACTGCCCACTGTAGGGCAGTTTAGGGGATTGCAATTAATGCCTGTACTGCAGAAATCTCTCATCCTTAGACGCAACCTGTGATGCCAGGCTCCTTTCTGAAGAGTATTCCCCTCGTCGTCTGCGCTGCGTAGACCTCATGTCCTTCCTGGCAATCGACACTTTCCAGACATAGGAATTTTGTTGCCATAAGATCGACGGCATGACTGGTCGACGGTATGCCGGGTCTATGCCCTAAGTCAGGCCTTCTTTGCAGCGTAGAGGGGAAGCGAGCTTCAAGCATCGAGGGTTGTCACTTTTTGAGAGAAAAAGTAGAGTCACGTGTCACGCTGTCACTGTTTCACATGTCACCCATATTTTCCCACACAACAATTACCATATGCAAAGAGCTTATTTTATAAATAAATTAAAGCACGATATCAAACATTTCAATACATTATTGGTTGTGCATTGTATTATATACAGTCGTAGACTCATAATAACATTAAGGCTTCGTTCATTTCACCGATTCAAGTTTTCAGTTTTAGGTTTCTACAGTAAAAAGTTCTCAGAAAATGTCACATCTAACTTTTTCTGCTACAGTAAAAAGCTCTCTGAAAATGTCACATCTCAGCTCGAATTAAAAACTCAAATCCGCGAAGTAAATGATGCCTTATTAAATTACTCGTTTACCACATCTCGCTTGAGCCTCGACCTCGAGGCCCATGGACAATATTTTAAAGATCTCAGGATTGAACGCAAGCATATCTTTTTCCACTCTTTAACACTGAAAAAATCCGTTGATTGGCACCTACAATTGTGATCATTAGCATTTAGCGAATAAAAAGTATTAAGTGGAAGACAACAGAGAGATCATAATTTCAACATTTATGGGACATTTAATTCATGAGTTTAGAATCATGATTCATGATTTTAATTTTTAAAATTTAAATTTTTTATGAGAAAAAAATAATGGAAAGAATCAAAAACTATGATTTAAAACTAGAAATAAACCCTTAAAACAAACATCTCATTAATTTTCCATGTTTTAGTTATATATATATATATATATATGTATATGAATATATATACTCTACAAAATGTCTTACATTCATTAAATTTCAAATAATATCATTCTTAAAATTGTAAAACCGATACTATTTTTAATCGAGTCTAAAGTACGCTTAATAGCAACTTTAATTTTGAAATTTTCTTAGGAATAAAAAGTTAACGTTTTACCTTTATATTTAGACCATCTCTAATGTAAATGTTACGTTAATTGTATATTTAACATCAAAAAATATGAGATGACATGTTATTTTTATTTTTATTCTAATGCATAATACTATTTGAAATGTTAAATATATTTTTTCAATAATCATTAAATTTTAAAAGTTATAAAAATATACTTTTATTTTTAAAATAATTACAAAATACAAAAGTTACAATGAATGCATGAAAAAATAAATATTTTAACTAATAATAATCTAATGATAAATTTTTCATATATTATATTTAGTAAAAAATTTATCACAAAATATAATATATGAAAAATTTAACATAACAAATAACACTTTATTATAGAGTATTTTTTACACTCAAATATTGAATTTTGAACGGGCACATCAATTAGGAGACACTTTAGTCACAGTAAGATCGTCATTGTTGTTCTCCTTCCCGCGAAAAGCCGGCCGTACACCAAACGCCTTCCTCAACCCATTGATCAAACCCTGACCGATCCTCTTCCTCAACGTTGGAGCATTCGCTTTACAAGAAGACAGAGATAAAGAATTTTCTCTCGATTTAACCCTACTTTCTTCTTCTCCACCACATCGATGAAACCTCGCCGAGTTTGCGGAGAATCTGTCCTCTTTCCTGACCTTATTCTCCGAACCGACATGGAAGCTGGCGGACCGACCGCCGGATCGGTCCATCACCAGACTCCGATCGTGATCGCAATCGGCATTTTGCAAGAGGAGCTTCTTCATGCCGGAGAGCTCCTCCTCGAGGGACCGGAGGCGGAGAGTGGTGGCGTCGAGGGTGGCCTTGAGGTGGGAGGCCTGGCGGATGGCGGCGTCCCGGTGGATGAGAGCGCCGAGGGTCATGGGAGGAGCGTCGTCGCTGTGGAGGCGGCGGCGGCGGTCGGCGGTTGCGGAGAGGATGGAGCGGCGGGTGTTGAGCTGGTCCAGGAGCATGGCGCGGACGACGAAGCGGAGGGGCATGAGGGGGTTTTGGACAGCGTCAAGGAGGAGCTTGTGGGAGAGCTTGTTGCAGTCGATGGAGCTGCATATTTGGGACTTCTGCTCCTCTGTGATTTTCCCGTTGTGTCCCTGTCCTCCATTAATCCCAAGAACAAAGGATTAGATATCAAGATAGAGGTCTTTGCACTCCTCCACAAGGAAATACATAACGTTAATTAACTTTTGACTGTTAAATTTTCAAATATATATATATATATATATATATATATTGACTACTGGGTTTCTTCTAAATAATGGGGAAAAAAACGTTCGTTGAGTTGCTTTAATTTTTTTTTTTTTAAAAAGAGAGAAAATATTGTTTTTAGGTTAAAAAATATTGAGTTGCTTTATTAGTATATTGACTAGTTTACTTGGATTGAAAATGTATCTCCTATTGTTTCTTCCATCTATCATGCGATATCAATGGAGCAATTTATTAATTTCTTGTGCTTTTTTTTTAATAATTAATTAACTTCTAATGGTTGCAAATATAAGCTAGTGGTCAATCTATATCTGAAATCTCAAATGCAGAGTTTTTAATTTCTTATCCTTAATTAAAAAAAATTACTAATTTCTATTGAACTACATATATTATAGATGACGTGTGTGTGTGTGTGTATATATATATATATATATATATACTTTGAGCTATCATATTATGATTTATTCTTTAGACATACAAACATTCCCTTGCAATATCTTTTATAGGAGTAGATTATAAAGATGTATGTTATATATTGTATACACTTATGTTCAAAGAAATATAATGATTAAAAAAAACACTAGAAAACAAATTGAGCCATGCATGACGCACCTTTTGAACTTGAAAGACTTACCCGAATATAGAGTTCAACAATCTTATAAACGACGTCGTGGCTATTAAACCGACGTTGCATGGCCTCAGCTACCACATGAAAATCCTCTGGGCAAACCGTTAATATAACGTCTTCAAACCAGTCCATCCCACAGTCGCCGAGACCGTCGTCCGTTAAATCCAACGCTTCGATGCACCTGCTGACCAGAAACGCCGCCGTTTCCGCCTCCGGAAGCAAGGCCAGGGACGAACGGAAAACTATGGACGTGTACTCGCGGTTAACGGCGACGACTCGACGGAAGTACGTGTCGGTGATGTGGACCAAGCTACTGCCATCCTCCTCGTCGTCGTCGTCATCGCCGTTAGCTTCCGTCATCTCTAGCAGCTCGGCCGCCGTTCTTAGGGCGGCGAGGTTGAACGGCGTTATGACGAGACGGGCTCCGTAACAGAAGTCCGCTACGAGAGTGAACGCTTCGGCCGTGATGTTTAACGGCGGTGAGAGCGTGAATTCCGAGACGGAATCCGTAAGTTGCTGCTTTAAATACGTGCTTCTTGATGCCAGTGGATCCTATGAACAAAAAAAAACAAATAATAATAATAACATAAGCATCAATCGGAGAAAAACGCCCATTATAATTAATTAAGGACGTTAATTATTTGAGTCAATTTAATATAGTAACCCCTTTTAGTAATTTTTGAACGAGATAGCATATATGTTGCTATAATATATAAAAATAAGAAACATAATTACTCATTTCATAACATCAATATGAACGCATAAATACTTACGGTTTAGCTTATGTTGCCTTCCTACGAAATTATATTTGAAGAAAAAAGAAATGCAAAAAGTGACATTTAAAGTTGTAGTACAGTTATGGTCGTGAAAGCGATGGCTATTAAATCTAAGAAAGTGGAAGGTGGAATTACTCCTTTTCGTCTAATTGGGGACCAAATTAGAGAGTGCAAAGGTGATTTGTGGAACTACAGTGCCGTATAATGTGTTTTCCACTCTTGTGAATTACTGGTACAATTGATTTATAGATTCAGAATTATTTTTAATTTACGTGTATTTTTTATAAAAAAAAATACTATAACGAATCATAATTTAAATTATGATACGAATTTACTGACCAAATACACGTTTGATTCTATCAAAACCAGGATAATATCATGATTATTTGAATTGTACAGAAGAAAAATCACAGCATTGGAAAATTCATCACTTATCTCAAGACTCAAAGGCTCTTCAGAATTTGACACAACTTTTTCATTGTCATTAATTTTCCATTCACAGAGTAGACATCAAATTGCTTATTTTTTCAGGTGCCAGGTTTTCCCCATCCAAATTCCCAATTCCCTGAGCCCCTCCAAGAATATTTAAAAATAATAATAATAATAATAAAGAAAAATCATGTTTTACTTGTTAAACAAGCTGATTTTGGGGGTTTTTTTTTTTTTTTTGGCAGACCAAGAAAAACTTGCTCCTGTGTATAGTTGGATTAATTCCAATCTTTTATTGAAAAGGAGAAAAAGATCGTTTTATAAAGAAAAAAATAATCACCCAAAATACAATTACATAAATTATATATCTAAGCCAGAAAATTAACTCCACTAGAGCAGTAGATCAGATCCATAGAAAAATTATTCAACAAACCTTGTGCAAATGGAAGCATTTTCCACGAACTCTTATTAGCACTTCTGTTTTTTTCCCGGCTGCCAGTGACCTATAACACAATACAATTCAAAACCCTCCAAAATAATAAAATTGGGACATTTACAAATGGAATAATTTTTGTCATCAACAAAAATAAAATTAAAAAAAAAAACAGAGAAAAAAAAAAGAAGAAGAAAAACTTTACCATTTATCCACTCTAGAATGGAGAGGCGTAGGAGGAGAAGAAGGAGATGGAGAAAGAGAAGAAGAGGAAGAGGAAAACTCACACTCTTCCTCATATATTGTCTCAACTGCTCCTAAGTTTTTCCAAGCCTTCATATTCCCCTCTCTTCTTCAATTTCCTTTCTGATATACACACTTTTCTATGAATATTTTATGGATATAAGTTTTTTTTTTTTTTAATTGATCTTCTACTGCTCTATTGACATTAGGGTTTTTCTGGATGGCGTGATGGGAAATTTCCTGCTTGCTAGGGGTTTCCGAATTTGTACAAGAATTATAAATATATAAAAAAAATGTACAAGAGGAACATTAATGATAGGCATGTGAAGGCTCATAAATGCTGGCCTTAATTTCATAATCAATGAGTACACCTTTGCTTTTCAGCGTAAGTTATTTTGGTTCTGAAAGAAAATTCTCTTTGGTAGTATGGTTGGGGAAAAATAAAATCTGATCATTTGGATTATCAAAGTTGTTTTTATTTTTTTTCTTCCTTTGAAACAGAATAAAAAAATTTATTGAAAATTAACAAATTCTGGTCTTTGGTACCATTTTGCACAGAGCAGAGGGTTTTTTTTTTTTTTTTTTTTTGAAGGGAGCAGAGGGATTTTGGATGGTTAACAAAAATATAATTGTTTATGTGAGCAATTTACGTGAAGGTAAATATGAAATCAAATTAAAATAAAAGGATCTTTTGCTTGAAGGACTTTTTTCTTCCCCCTTATGAAAATTCTTTAAATTGACATTTCCTTTGTACAAAGTATATCATGTGAACTAGTACCCTCTCTAAGGAAAAAGAAGGAAGGAGGAGTTTTCTTTAGGGCATCTCGCCCGGTAGGACATTGTTCCCTGTCAGTCTCATGTACTCTATTACTTCTAGCCTTTTATTTTTATCATCCAACTTCAATCATTGGGAACATTTTCTGAGATATCATCCTTAACTCTTAGAGTGCGTTTTGAGGAATTTTTTCTTGAGTGTGGAGCCTTAGGATGTGTTTGTTTCGTGGATAGGGCTCGAATCAGCCCAACTCAAATCTAAGTTGCGGCCCAAGTAAGCGTTCGGGCAACACAACTCCAAATCAAATTCGAGTTACAATTCAAGTTTACTCTGTCAAGATGGAATTCCAACTACCCCCTGAATTCTCATTAACTCGAACCTTTCTCTACAGTGCACTCCATGTGAGAGTCCTCATTTTTTCCTCTCAGATTCCCATTCCATGCGCTCCTGGATGTTACTTCTCTTTCTCTTCTTTTTAGAAACAGCTCTCTCATCTCTCGATTCCCATCGTCCACAGAGATTCGCTACCAAAATTTCAGAAGTGAAAATTTTTTTCCCTCTGGTGGTGAATCATATTCGCAGATCTATTTCTTCTTATGAGAGAGGAACCCTTTCTGGCTTCTTCCCTCTGCCCAAAACGGCAAAAATAGCTGGGAAACGCAGTTCTCGATGACCTCCGTTGGCCGTTGTTTTGGGTAGATGTACCCGCAACCAGCGACGTAATCCCCTGCACTGCTGTAATCAGTGGAGCTTTTTCCACGGTCGGTATCTGTGGTGGAGAAATTGTGGCAGGGCATCGACATCACAGCTAGGGTTTTTGCTGGAAGAGCACACACGTTCATCCACCGGATCCAACTCGGTAAATTTGCTTACCCTTTCTCTTTGTTTTTCCATTTCACCCACCATTCTTTTGTTGAAATTGTATATAGCCTATGTTCGTTGCATAATACATTAACCGACTAGATCCCTTAAGAATTCAAGTCTAACCATGAAATGTTGATGTTTTGGGTGTTAATAACCATATATATAACGTTATATCTAACCAACAACACAATCACCGTAACCATAAAAGTGAAGATATTTGTAACATTGATTTGTATGATTCAGATTTGTACCTATCTATGTACACATACTATGGACTCGAGAAAGAACTGAAATGTTTAATGACAAGGTAAAGCAACATTAAACTAAGTGATGTGCTTCAATAAAGAAAATAAAAAAACTGGTGAAGTCTACATTGGTAAGAGGGAAAAAATATTACTGAGCTTGAAATTGAAATTCTCTTTTTGTGAACTCTTGTGTTTGGATAAAAAGAAAAAAAAAAAAAAAAAAGCTAGTCAGTTTCCCATGGCGTAGTATTATTAAGCGGACAACAAAATAGATGATCTTTCTTTTATTCTTCTTAAATGTTTCCTCTAGTATTCCTGTTTTTGCGAGAAACTTTGAATTCAAGCACTTTGATAGTTTGATGTTGCTGCTTAAGCTATATCCTTGTCTTTTTTGTCCTCATACTGAATAATTGTTCAACTATGATAGTTTGATGTGGTTCCCTAAGGTATATCCTTGATTGAATGAATCTTCTCATCCATATCTCTTCCTTCACTTTTTCCTCCAACCAAATAACATGAGGTAGTACCTTAATGGCTCATGTTTAGCTTGTCCTTTTATGATGCATTAAGAGTTTGTCCTTTTATCATGGTTGTATATATTCAAAAGGCACATCTTTTAATCTGACAAAACATGTAATTAAAAAGGCAATAGCATCTATCACCAGTATACAATTTGTTGGATTTGTTTGTTAGTTATACAACTGTGGAGATACTTTACTTGACTGACTATAGAGATATACATACATATATGTTAAACATATTAATAGATACGGCATGTTGAATATTTCAATAATGCTCATACCATGTCTCTGTTCCTAATATTGCTCCCTCTGTACATATATGTTGTGCAGATGAACTCTTTGTTCTTATTGGATTTAATACTTTGGCAGTGATGATTTTTTTGGCATATTAGTTTCGTTGTAGCGATATCCTCTTGGTTTCTGGCATTTATCAGTTTCTACTGCATGTAATTAGGTTTTGTTGGATTGAATGTCATGGTGTTGTCGTTTGTTATTGCATTATGACCTATGCTTTTAAATCCCTGGCCTATTACTATGTGGTTTGGTAGCATAAGTGCCATTCCAGGAGGATAATGGTCTGAAACTGTGATGATAAGATTATAACCAAATCTGAGACAATCAGTAGATTATGTACTTTAATCCTCTTTCTTCTTTGTTGTTGCATATGTCACTTTGTTCTCGTGGTTGGTGGTTGATTAACGCCCAAAAGTAATGTTCACAAGCGGTCAATTATAGCACAGAAGGGCGGTCGTATCCACAGAGAGATAACAAAATAACAAGAAAGACTAATAGAATAAGAGTGTTAAAGAAAAGTGAATTAAAGAAAAAGAATAGTTTTTTAGATTTTGTTGCAAATAAAATAGAAATGAGGGAATTTGTATGAAGAAAATTCAATAATAAAAACGGTAAGGTGTCGAGAATTCCTAATGTTTCATTCACCAATTCCAGTTTTGATTCACAAAATAAAATAACCGAATAAATTAAATCTCTATGTTGACTCCGGAATTATTATTATTACAAGTTATCTAAAATCGACAATATATCAATCTGACAATATTACAGTAAAAGACAATTTACAAAATAATTTGAATAACAAAACATTGCATGATAGAATTACATAAGAAAAGCGTGACTGAACTTATATAAAAATTGGCACACAATATTTTGAAAAGTAATAGAAAAATAGATGAGATTTAATTCATTCAGATGTTGAACTTTACAGCACAAGGAATCAAAACCCCGAATTGGGTCACTCAACAGAAGTTCATCTCTAACCTCACCAAGAAAACTCTAGCCTAGCTTGCAAAACATTCTCACAAGTTCTAGAGAGAAAATATGAGAGTGACAGCAAGACGACAGAAAACTGAATATTAAAAGCTTTCTAAAACCTTAGGCTAACCCCTCTATTTATAGTGTTCAAAGGTTACCTGTCAAATAAGGAAACAAACAATAAAAATAGAAAATTACAAAAGAAAAGGAAACAAAATAAAATTACACATAAATTAGGAGAAATCATATATTTGATTTGAGGAAGAAATCTGGTAATCTCGTCTGATTTTTGGGGAAGGAATTCGAATTCAGCACAGAAGAGACACTTGTCGAAGCTGGATTGGCAGTGAGGAGAAAACGCGCCACGTGTCGCGCTCGGAGTGGAGGAAGGGCGCTAGCGTATGCTGGCAGAAGGTTGTCACGGCGACAGCTGGCGCGCGCAGGATGGACGGAGGGCTGTCACGCTGACCGCGGGACCCACGCTTCAGAGTTGTTGGACGCGCGGTGATGGCTCCGTGGAAGGAACGCGCTCACTAGGGGTGGGCGTGCTGGGGACGCGCGCGAGGAAGAGTCAGGGAACGTGAAAAAGCTGGGACCCACGCGGACTGATGCGACTTGGCCGGCTCAGCTACTCAGCTCAATCGGCTCGGCTCTCTCTGATGGCTTATGTGGCTCAGCTGAGAGGCTTGGCTCCGGATGGTTGAAAATATGGCTTTCATGGCTTATTTTTGTGTGGCTGTTTACATTACTTTTTATCTGTAAATAACTAAGCAAAAACTAGATAAATTCCAATTAAAAATATTCTGAATAAAAATAATGGAATTGTTTAATTAAAGCTTAAATATTTTAATATTATATAAATCAAAAGTAGTATTTAGGGTGCATTTTCATGCACTGATCAGTGGTTTTGCTTGTATGTATTAGATGTCACGACGGAGTGAGGATGACGTAACCTTCTATTGGTCTGAGAGTCAAAAAAATCACGCTTTTAACACACCTAGCGGACTACAATAAAAACAACAAGGGCCGTCAACCCGAATCGACGGATTAGGAACAGTGGGTGATAGATTTGTCCCCACTTTTTTCATCACCTATTCCTCCAAGCCGCGTTAAAGAGGCAAAGGAACAACTGAAGAAAAAATTCAACGTAGAGTTCACCCTTCGCACAAATACCGGACTAGGATGGGATCCAGTCAAGAATAGCCTAACTTACACTGACGAGTATTGGAATGATTTCTGTGAGGTTAGTATATGGCATACTTACTCCATCATTTCAAAGTTTTATAGAAAAAGTAACTAGACTTTGATTTATTTAGTTTATGTGTTCAACAGACACACAAGTGGGTGAAGAGTGCACGTAAGGATCCCCTTAAGAATTATGAACTCTACTACAAAGTGTTTGCAAGTAGGCGCGCCCATGGTGCATTTGAAGCGGGCATGGATGAGAATGATGAGGAAGGTGACGTGTCTGAGCCGCTAGTAGGGGAGCATGAAGTTCAAGGTGGCAATTGGCAATCTTTAGAGGGTGAGGAAGCATTTATCAACACAATGATAGGGGTTT